AAACTTAACAATTAGTGATACTTTAAAATATGATTATGTTAAGGAAATATTTTATCCTTTGATTTTTTTATTATGAAAATAATTTCAAAATATTATCACAGTATTAAAGTATTAAACATTCTTATATGGGAAATGTTAAAGGTACAAAAAGTGACAGTTGTCCCGTTAGAATTTCTAACTTGGGAATCCACCGGATTTAAAATCGCAAATTATTCTATGTAAATCAAAATTTATCCCTTGTAAATAGACTAACAATCGATATAGAAGCAGTTTTTTACAGTAAAAGAGAAGATAATGTTTTATGGGCACTGTACGCAAAATTTTTAACGCTTTATCAGTTAAATCTAGTTAACTGCACTACTACGGCGAAATCAAAAGGTCAGTACAAACGTTCATGTAATATTTTCAAATATTGGCGTCAAGAAACTATTTAATACTTTTGTATTTTTGTATTATGATAATAATAGTAACTATAATAATAATAATAAATGTTATTTGTTTTACAAGTTTTGAAAAGCGACTTTTTCATGCGAGTGTTCACAAGTGAAACACAATGTTTTTTCTATGACCCTTTTATTTTTAATACAAAACAAAATAACCTAAAAACGTGTTTGGCAGCTGTTAAAATTACTTTTATCTTATACAATACAAATTTTGAAACGAATGTCAAACGATGATGTCAATTTCTTTTCACACAGACCTGTCACTTTTCACACAGAAATGTCACTTTACATTCGTGTTTTGCCGTGCCAATGAAAAGATTCTTTTTCTAAGCAAGGATGCCAATACGAAATGTGACTTTTACATAGTGGTCGTAGAAAAAATAATTTTCACATTTAGAATTATTTTACAAGAAAGGCACTTTATTTTAACGATTGTATGACATTTGACAACTGTCAGGTAACTTAAAACTAACTTCAGCTTGTGACTAAAGCGCCATAAAGCCACAACTTGTCAATGTGTATTTAAAAGGTCACTTAGTGCCATGCAAACATGTTAAAGGTGGAAGGAGATATTTTGAATTATAGTTTAATTTTTTAGTTTTTTTACACAAAGAATATTTGATATTATGTTTTCTTAAAAAAATTATAATTGTTCAATTGATAATGTATTGGTATAAGGCCGGTAAATGCTTGGTCAAAATTCACGAAATCAGTAATAATAAAATAACAAATAAAAACAGTCCAAAGCACCCTGCTTTGTTTAAATTGTTTAAAATTTCATTTTACAATATAATTTTTTAATAAAATTCAATTTTGAGTTTTTTTATACCCATTTTAATAAAAAGTAAGGTAATCTTTTCTGATTTGTAAAAATAATAAAAATAAAATTTAATTCAAATTTAAGGTTAATTTCTGAGTTTTGATAAATTAAAATTGACATTTGACAGTTTAATGACAGCCCTAAAAGAATAAGGTTTATTTTTTACAAAAGAGGAGTAAAATACTTGCCCTTAATCTGTATAAACAGCACAAGCCCGAAGCACAAGAATTGTAAACAACTTAAAAATGACCACCGTTAAAGTCTATATGTATAGTTGGTTGTCTAACTTCGTGATTTTTAGTATGCGCGAAACGAGATACGACAGACTGTTGTGAGCACCATTCTTTCTTAAAAAAATGGTGAATGCTCCGGGAATAATAAATTAATATAGAATTTTTGAATAGCTTAACTAATGCGCCATCCTAGCCTAGCTATAAATAAGCCTTTGCCTCGAAGAAACAAGTATATTATTGAAATATAGTCTTAATTGATTAAGTCGTTCACTACCGAAGTTATAACGATTTTTGGTTTTAACAGGTTTTCTGTTTTTTTTAATTATTTAAGAATCGCTGATTTTTTTTCCAATTGTCAAATGCCATTTTAATAGGCTTGTAATAATACACAGAAGGATACTTGGTGCACCTTGTATATATATGTAACGAAATTGAAGGTATACAACGTATTAGAACAGCGTAAAACAAAAAAGCTATTTTCAATGCCTTTGATGCAAATATAGGAAGAGCATAAGGGAAGTTGCTCGCAATTTTCCGTTCAAAGTTCATTCTGTATGAGTATGTATCATACAAAATGTATAACGCATGTTTTCTAATATTTTAAAGTATTTAGGGCAAGTATGTTTTCTTCAAAAACTACAATGAACAAATGTTAATGTTCGAGATGATATACTGGTAGAGTGGGCAATAATTAAATTTAGTACATTGTATTGTCCTAATTGACCTTTAAATATCCACCTTATTCTAGCCCAGCAACCATGATAAGACCAATAAATAAGTTGTTAATTTGTTCCAAGCGATAATGTTACTGTTAATAGTCCAATTAAACGATATCCTATTCAATCTTATATCACAATGTTCGTTGGTATTGTAAAATAGTAGGACTAAAAATAAATTAACTGTTTCTGGGTTCAGTTACAGTAAATTATTGGTGAATACAACGTTCTTCCTACACGATGTTCTTGATATAGTCAAGGCAGTTTATTACATGACGTTTTTTACGAATGCAAATACCTTTATCAGACGCTATGAGCTCACAGAACACATTCAACAACACCTAGGCTAGGCTAAATTAATATAAATGGCTATTTAAGTCATACAAGTATCCAATTTAAATATTTATCTTCCATAGCAAATGAATTTCACTTACCTACAACTAGGTACACTTTTTTATATTTTAAATCCTTAAAACCTGAAAATAAATAAAACTGCATAGTTTGAAATAATTTTCTTATTAAAAATAATGGTGTTTATAGTACAACATACTTATTAATATAATCAACAATAAAATATTAACAATAATTAATTTATAATTTAAAAGTAGGCTATCTAAAAATTAATTAATTTACTATTCTTACATTCTAACCACTATATTTTTATTTTCTAAAGCAACCAAGGTGCTGTTATAAATAAATACACATAATTTCTGTACATGATTATCACAAATAATCAACAAAAACGTTTTATTTCGTTAAAACTTAACTTACAGCTGAAGGTTGATTCACACCGACCGCGAGTGTCGAAGTTGGTGTGAAAGCACCTTAGCTACAATCAGATAGCCATGTAAAGAGAAAATATCACATCACCTTTGACTTTTGTAGATAACACGTCAGCCTGACTTGACGTTGCTAAGAGACGTTTGGACATTGAGATTTGTTTTTGTGCCAAATTGATGAGATATTTAATGGAATCACACGTTTTTTGTTCAATTGGTGCAAAGCAACGACGGTTTGGATTGAGATCTATTTGTCCAAGACAATTATATTGGGCAGAAAGCATTTACGAAAGCGTATAAGTAAGAATAAATAGGGATTTTCTATATGCTATATTACAAAATTTACAAGGCTTCGTTAGCTAGCTTCTGCCTAAATTAAATCGATAAAAGATTTTACAATAAAATTTATTTGTAAAAATACAAACACTATACTTAAATATTAAGTATTTTTTTCTATCACAAGGAATGTGTTACATTGAAACCTGAGAATTTTTTTAAATACAAATTTTCTTATTACGAGCCTAGTCAACGTTTCTGATTAGTGGGGATGCAAAAATAAATAAGGGAAATATAATACAAGAGATAAATAAATATACACCACAACAATGCGCAAAAACAATAAATAGTAAGAAAATAAGTCATCCAAAAGAGCAAAAAAACACAATATTTTTGTTTTCTGGGCCAAAAAAATAATTGTGGTTATGCTATATATCACGGTCTTATACAGGGGGCATCAAGTATCATTCTATGTATTATTTGAAGATCTATTAAAATGGCATTTAAAATTGGAAATTTTGAAAAAAGTAAAATTTATATGTATTTATATTTTCATCCAATATTTTATTTTTTTCGCCAACTGCAATTACAATTTTGGATACCAACACCATCTTTTGTTTTTCCTATGGCCGCCATATTGAATTTTAGCATGGTTAGAAAAAAATGAAAGAATTCAACGATGTATCAAACTACATAAGTTATGGCGGCCATTATAAAAGCAAAAGATAGTGATGGTATCTCAAAACCTAGTAACGAAGAAATTGGATGTAACATGTAAAACTTACTTTTGGTTTTGCAGGTTTATTAGTTTTATCAAATATTTTTTTTTCATTTTAAAAATTTCATGTTACTAGGCTTGTAGTTACTTCAAATAAAAATTAAAAAACCTATGGAAGTATACACTTGGTGTACCCTGTATACAGGTCTTACAACTTAGCCAGGAAAAGTGTTGTTTCGGATATTAGTAGATAAGATTAGAAATATACTTTTCCAATTTGACAATAAAACTGTCAACAAAAAACAAAACATACGTGAGTAGTTCATTTCACTGTTTATTCTTGAGTTGCAATACTTGTATATAAGACCGTGCTGTAGACATACCAGCTATAAGAAAGAAAAGTTAATAAATTCGTTGTTGTTTGCACTAAGTCACTAGATGAAATTGCACATTGTCCATTAAATTAGGAATATTACTTTTGTTTTAAATATATTGAGGTACCTTTTTTATAGCACGGAGAAACCGCATCAAAATAGAATCGAACTGCTCTATGAAAAATTTGCGTTAAAAACAGTTGCTAGAGCGGAATCCTTTGTGTGTGGTTCATAATACCTAGTTAAATTCTATCTTGATGCGGAGAAAGTTTGCCAAGATTCCTGAATAATACTCTTAATCATTCAAGCTGATATTCACTAATGCCTTGCTCATAAGAAAACAATTGATTAGTACGATTTCACAATATGCAGAGTCGTGTTCATCTTTTTTCCAAAATATAAATTGCCTGATTCAAAGTGATTTATGTTGGGAACATTTTAAATTTTGTAAATTCTCTGGTGGTGTATTAATATTAGAAATATTCCCCAAAACAAAACAAAACACAAAGTGCTTTAAGTACTTTTCGCCAATGATGCTGGCATCTTCAGGGAATATTTATAATATTTGTCCTCTGCATAAAGATGAGCCAAATAAATAAATAAAAATGAATTCGGAGATAAATAAAACGTTAGCAAATATCTTACCTTCGCAAACGACAAAACGCTTAGAACACGAACTAGTCGCGTCCTATGCGCTTATGTATTTGTTGATGTTTCAACAAGTGTGCTTTTTGCCTGAACGCTTTCGCGCACGTCTCGCATCTAAAAGGTTTCTCCCCCGTATGCGTGCGCAGGTGCACCTTGATGTTGCTCTTATTCAAAAACCCCCTATTGCAAATGTTACACCTGTGCACTGGCTTTTCCTTGCCCAAAAGTCCTAGGCTTTGCTCGGATTGAAACACCGTCGAACTGGCCGCTTGGTGCTGCTTCTTCTGCGCCCGGCTGCGGGATTTTTTGGGCGCGTTCGGCGTGCCGGTCGTGGTGTGCGGGTAGTTTTGGCCCATCAGGTCCGGACTTCTTATCCTGTGGTCCTCCATCCCGTGGACGCTGTACTGGGGCATGAATCGTCCGTTGACGGTGAGCATGAGGTTGTCCGTTGTGGATACAACATTGGCTGGCGGGCTGGACGTCGATATCATGTCCCCACCGTAGTTGGTGGAACTGGGGGCTTCTTGTTTGATGGGCGGGCCGTTCTGCAAACGATTCTGCAAAAGGGGCATGTAACCGTGCGTCAGCAGGGTCTGTAACGTCGACCCTCCTTGCTGGATTTGGTGCTTGTTGTATTCCATTTGCGCGTTCGTGTTCGGTATAACGAACTCTGACAGTCCATCCTGCGTTATGATCAGGCTTTTTGGTTGGTCGACGCAGGCGCCGTCTATCCACGACTCCAAATCCATCCAACTGTCTCTGGATCCTGTCTGGTCCTCGCTTTCGGGGTTGTTGTTAGGTACGGTGGTGTCGGCTATCGCTGAGCCGATTATGGCCGCGATATCTTCTATCGAGGAAATGTCGTACTCCCCCATTTCCGACTTGATGTGCGTGACTGAATCCGCTGACGTTTGGCTGCAATCTTCGAACTTCATCGCGCTCGACACAGAGTCCGCGTACCCCAACTTGACCACCTCGTCGACCGAGTACAGAGTTTTCGAGTTCGATTCACAGGCAGAGTCCGCACTAACGTTGCACGTCGAACTCGACACTATATTCTGTTCGTTGTAACTGTTATACGAGTTATTGTTCTCTTCGGGCACCCTCTGCGATATCGTGTGATAATGGTGCCCCTGGATCCCGTTTATGCTCAAGTTCGCCGTGTAGTTCGTGAAGGGCGGGAGCGGCTTCAGCTCCGCCAAACTGCCGGAGTTCATGGAGGAGCTGTCGAGCAGCAGGTTGTCCAAGACGTTCATCTTCGACTCCATTTCGTCCTCCTCGTGGCTGATCGGCGAGCCGAGCATCAGCTTGTCCGAGCCCATGTGGTTCATGGAGCTGTGCAGCATCAGCTTGTCAGTGTCCATGAATTCGTTCTGGAGGCCCGAATTCGAGTTTTGCCAACATGAAGAAGTGAAAAGCGAATCGACCTCGTCTACGTGGGAACCGTTGCCGCTGACCGCCATGTTCGTGCTTCCTGACACGTTGGGATATTTCATTGTTTGCATAGATAGCAAATGTGTCTTTTCAATTTAGTATTTGCTTCTATGTGCACATCCTCATAGAACCTAGAAGAAAAACACAGCATTAAATTTATTGGCTTACACTGTTATAAAAATCAGATTTGTTAACAGACGTTTGTAGTTTGTAATTAATTTTGTAAGCATTTTGTTAATTTTAAAGATTACATATTATTTTGCTAATGTTTAACAAATTATTTCTTTAAAAAAAGTACACTTGATTTCAGACAGTCAATCAAAACATTTCCTACTGACAATACGCATCAACAAGTTCAAGTGACTTCAGCGTCTGCAACTTATGTTTTTGCTTACTTTATTCTAATTCGTAATGTGTCCAGAGTGTTTATAACATATTACCAGAAACATGTTATTATTGTTATTCGGATACAGTGAAGTGGGTTAAAGTTACGATATACATAAGTAAGTAGTACTGATAATTATATTCTACCAAATTTCTTAATAATTTAATAATTTCAGAATGGTGTGTTATTTAGTTGTATGTATGTTATTTTTATGTTCGTTTATGTGGGTATGTGTTAATTTTTTTTAAGAAATTGATTAATAAAGCAACATTTCTTATCAAAATTCTTTTCATTTAAGTTCCCAATTTCCAACAAATTCTTTTTGTTACTGGGTCCACAAAAAGGTTTGTAAAAATAAGATCCTTCTTAAAAATTATAAAAATTATGGTTGAATTATTGATATAGGATTTTGTTATTAAATCTACAAAATGTTTGATATAATTACAAACTACTTATTCAATTATTAAACAGATTGCAGTTGGTTGTAACTTAACATAAAGTTATGTGGACCTGGATTAACATAAAATTTGGTTAATATTCCGTTAAAATTAACAAATATTTTTTACTGTGTAATATTAATGGGAAATTCATAAACTGCCTTGACAATGAGGATGTAAGTGATTATATGCTATATGACATTTAAAAACAAAAAAACGCTTCTGGTATTAAGAGTTTGGGCTACGTCTTTAGACGGTGGATCTCGTGATGTTCTAAAATCTCGCCGTTGTTGGCTTATCTTGGCAGTATATAAGCTGAGGTGGTCTTTTGTTTTGGGTGTGTTCCACTACATTAAGTTGTTGGACACCGGTGAGACCCAATATAGGTCGAAACAGCTGTCTGTCGGTACATAAAGTTGGTGGAACGCACTCAAAACAAAAACGAGGTAAAGGTTCAATTCATTTATTGACCTTAATTCAATATTATAAATTTATATGTATTTATTTATAAATTTAAAATATACATAAAATTCGAATAAAAATACTATTAAAAGAATTCTTTCCCGCATGATTTTTCTGGGTTACCTATCTTAAGCAAAATCAGAGCAAAATCGAAACAATCTTAACGCTTGACCTTAATTGCGATGTCGTTAAAATGCCGTGAGCATGGTGGAAGGGGAACACGAAATGGGTGTCATTTTTTGGACGGAACATCGTGAAGACGCGTCGTTAAAATCTGTTTAGTGTGGCGAATAAACAATGTCGAATCGGGAGTAGGCCATCGAATTGAGACCAGCAACTTCACTTTCAATTAACGGAATTTCAAATCGACGACGGCGGCCATAAGCCCGCTACGATGTGCTTGCTGCGAATTATGACGCACCAAAGTACCGTTAGCACTGTATGATCGCCAACCATGTTGCCAAATTAAACTGCTAAATGTAGGTTCCTAAGATTGAAGCCCTATCAAAATATAACTTAATATAAGTGACAAAATAAATGGTACTGTGTTCCGATCATGTCGTAAACTTCTTTAAAATAGTTGTCGTTACTTTGAGGAAGTTTGGCAACGTCGCAGCTACACGCGAGGGAGTTCCACCGTCTACTTGCGGAAGTGTGTTAGCAGTACCAAAGATGCCCCCTCCAGTTTGAAAACAACTAACGGCTAACGGTACCTCACCAGTATTCACTTCTACTGATCTTACTGCCTCGAGCCGTCATTGGCGTGCGAACGATTTTTTTCGACGGTACAAACATTGAATACTTATCTATTGTGCCTACCTACCTCTGAGTTAAGTGTGTCGATGCTTTTTTAACGTCAAGATGATTTAGTACCACCAAGATAATAGATTCATTTTGGTAGTACTTTGTCACTTTGTACTCTGAGCTCGAGCACAGACTAAATAATTTTTGATTTAAGGTAAAGTTTTGGCTATGATCTTCATTTAAAAATTTTGAGGTGTAGTAATTAAAAACAGATTTAATATACCTATGTTTATTTTAATTTAATATTGCGGCATTTTACCTAGGCTGTACTTAAGCCGGATGAACTTGGTAATTAGTTAATATCTTGTATTTCATAGTATTTATGTAATTAAGGGTTTAAATTAGTTATTAACATTTAATTGAGATTTTGATTAATTTTCATGCACTAAATAAACATGGCATAGGTTTTTTATGCAATTTAAGTAAAATGTAATTAGAACTGATATAAAGGAAAATATTAGTAAATAAATGTATATTTTAATTTAGGCCAAAAAATTATTTAAATTAAATATTTGAATAAAGCTACATCGAAAATAAAGTAACCATCCCAATAAACATTTTTGCCGTAATAATCTCAAAATATAGTTCTGTTAAAAAAATATTTTATCCTTTGATTTTTTTAATTGCTATAATTTCAAAATATTATCACAAGTATTAAAAATTCTTACACGGGAAATGTTAAAGGTTAAAGTTAAAAAGTGACAGTTGTATGTATCTATTGGAATTCCTGTTAGAATTTCTAACTTGGGAAAATCTCAAATTTTTCTGTATAAATCAAAAGGTATCCATTCAAAATGGACTAACAATCGATATAGAAGCAGTTTTTCACAGTAAAAGGGAAGAGAATGTTTTATGGGCACTGTATGCAAAATTTTTAACGCTTTATCAGTTAAATCTAGTTAACTGCACTACTACGGCAAAATCAAAAGGTCAGTACAAACGTTCTTATAATCTTTTCAAATATTGGCGTCAAAAAACTTTTTAATATTTTTGTATTTATAAGATAATAAAATAATTTTCACATTTAGTATTATTTTACAAGAAAGGCACTTTATTTTAACGATTGTATGACATTTGACAAATGTCAACTAACTTAAAACTAACTTCAGCCCTTGACTAAAAAACCTGTTGCTAACTTCAGCCCGTGACTAAAGCGCCTAAGCCACAACTTGTCAAGTGTATTTTTTTCTTAGTGTCATGTAAAAAACATATATAATAATGGGCGTTTTAAATGTGGGACGAACATCTTTCATAAATGAAATAATAAAATAGGTAATATTCAACCAAATACCTTAATTTGAAATAAAAATTAATAATAGATATTTCAAAATATTCATTTTTGTATTATATTTTAATGAATATATAAATAGTTAAATTTGGTATGCAAAAACTAAATTTCTTGACAAATTATTTAAAAAAATGCGGGCCCATCAAATATACCGTACTATAGTCCTAGTTCCAAAAAATGTGCCCTTATACCCACGCTTATCATATAGACAATACATTATTATAACGGCTAATTATTGAACTAAATATTTGTTCAGATAAAAAATAAACCAAAGCCCGTTAGTTCGTTAATGTTATAGTACCACTTCGCTAACGATTAACCCATTGTTTGTTAATGTTTAATATTTTAGTGCAAATATACTAATGCGCGTATCTATCGGATATCTCGCTTTTATAAAGACAATACCAGTTAATTAGCAATAAATCGTCATAAACAAAAACAACATGTAAAGCTTGTGCTGTTCGTTCTTTGGAATTTAAACATTAATAGTGATTAGATCTTTGCTGGTTGTTTGTATCTAGGAAAATCTATTCAATTGAATTCTGTATACAAAGAATACTACTATTACTATAGTAAAGTCAAATCAGATTTTAAATGTTTTTATTGTATATAGAAATTTATTTAATTAAACGAATTTAAAGTATTTTTTTAATTTAAAAAATAACCGGCCAATTTGTTTTAGTTTGATGATGATTATTTTTTAGAACGTTAAACTTTTACTCATTTTATAGGTAACAGAAATTTTCCAATTCAAAACAACTTATAATCAAAAAAAAATTAAAAATAAGCTTAAAAATATTGATTTTTAAAAATTTTAGTTAAATTATTTTATTTTACAAAATTTTTGGTTTAAATTTGTAAATAGTCATTTAAATGATAGTCGATAAAATTTTAATACTTTAATGTATCGACTATAATAAACATTTGCATTTTATATTTAAAATATTGTTTGATTATAAATTGATTTGGGATTTAAAAAAATTAACTTTTTAAGCTTTTGGTAAAAATTTTTTAAATGTTTTTTAATTTGAAATGTCTCGAAACCATTTTTTAAAAATTTAACTTTTCCAATTAAATCTAAATAATTTAATTTAATTTAGGTTTTAAAAAATACTGCCCAAATAAATTATAACTAAGAAATTATTTTTATTAAAAAAATGATTGGAAATAATATTGTTTAATACAGAAGTAAACTGTTAGGAAGTAAATTTTGTCTTTCAATACATGATAGTTGAAAATATTTTAAATTTATAAATGTAAACCAACAAAATTTAAAATTTAAAATTGTTTAATAAATATTAAAACGGCGTGACATAGCTAACTTATTTCGAAATTTTGATTACTGCTAAAAGTACAAAATCGAAAAACTTCATAACATACATATGTAATTTAATACATCGTTGGATTTCTTGATTTTTTTATCTAACCATCTAAAATTCCAATATGACGGTCATAGAAAAAACAAAAGATGGTGGTGGTATCTCAAAATCTAGTGGGCAAAAAATTCCCAGGGTTTGACAGGTTTTTAGTTTTTTTAATTATTTAAAAATCGCTGATTTTTTTTTTAATTTTTAAATGCCATTTTAATAGACTAGACTAGACTAGACTACTTGGTGCACCCTATATACTGTGTACTATTTTTTTCAAGAGTTTAGATTTTTAATTTGGAAATATAAAATTTTGCCATATGTAGGAACAACCCCTCCTATATAATTTTAATGTATTTTCATTCTAAGATGGCGGTGTATAAAAAAT